GCAGCAAAGAGGCTGAAAGAGCTCTGAGGTAGAGGTCCATACAAGAAGTTAACAGATAGAGAAGGACTCGCTATTGGTGAATGGCTCCACTATAGCTGCTAAAGAACAGATGAATAGCTGAACACTAAACACGTGGTCTTATTGTCATAGCAACACTCTAACAGTTTCCATGGTTTTTAATTGAATTTTTTATGACCACAAATAATTGCAGCCGCGAATATATCTCGACCTACGGTATGTCATACATGAAACTTTGCCATGATGTGGCATGACTTTTAGTTTTTGATCCAAAGCACATAATTTAAAACACTCAAAAAAGGAAACCTACATGTAAAACCATGTACGTGTATGTCTACATAAAACACATTACACACACATGTAAGGATACATGTACATGTACATGTATGTATACACATCATCACTTTTGATTGTTCACTTACACTGGATTAATTTGTAGCTTTTTAACTCTCTCGTCATCTCCTCTTGCTCTTCTCCTAAACTTTCTAACTATCAGGAAAAGGACGAGAATGAAGGCTCCTAATAAAAAGACATCCAAGTAACTGAAATATGAAGACTCTCCATCATGAGATGACGCCATGTTGAATAGGCGTGGCTCTTAAATTAAGAGAGGAGTGGCTCAACCTTTAGAACCTTTAGAGTAAATGAACATCTATTCCATGTGTTCTTATGTTCTATTCTAATGGTAAGGATTGGTGTGTGAAGTCTATGCTAAACAATGTATTTTTTAAAGTGGAAATGTTAGTTCTGTTTTCGGCTCGATAAATGAAACAAGCATATCAGGATCGAATCAAGTAATCAAGACCAAATCAGATGTACATCAAGACATAAAAAGCTGCTATGGAAGAGAATCAAGGGATCAATTCACTCTCAAAGCTCTGTATTCATATTTGTTTTTAACCGTACGTAAATAATAAATAACATATTATTTTTTTCGTAATAAAAAAATAATAAATAATATGTTATTTTGTTAATTATCTGATATATTGACCCTGATCACCCAGTTGCTAACATTAATACATGCTGTTATGCAAGTGACACCCCTTGAAACACGTCTTTCAAATTGTACTCGGAGTCAGTGTACTTTAAAGCACATAATGTAATAATATTCAAGTTGTAAATATTGTAATTAATTATTAGATGGATCTAATGACAGTAGTGTAATAATTAATAATTATTGTGTGTTAATAGATTGAAGAAACAAGGCAGCAAATGGCATTGTTACAAGTACAGCTGTAACAGGAGGAGGAGGCTGGTCCATAAGACTAAAGTACAGTATTGATGTTCTCAACTTCTCATCATGTGGCAAGACTGAAGCAGTATGTAAGGGCTAACAAGGTATTTTATCCGAATATAATTTGTAATTCATGTGTCCCATGATGTGATATGTGTGATATGATATAGTCACAGATATTTATTAGACGATGCCTTTTGGTGTGGTAAGCATGTTCATTAGTTCATTGAATTAATCAGGTGTTAATTGTAAAACTTACAGCATACAAAACACAGGATTTGAACTCATCATAGCATACCAACTTATATCATACTATATTGTGAACAAGGAGAGGTTGAATTGAATTAATGTTTTTATTTATGTGTGTTAGTTTTTTTAATTGCCTTCTTTATTTTAGGTAGAACTCAAATCACTAACTTCTCATCAAAGA